AGATAGATAGATAGATAGATAGATCGATAGATAGATAGATAGATACTTAGTTTATCCCCTAGGGGAAATTCATGACTTCATGCTCCATTAGACACAACCAGGGCAGAAGAGAGAAAACTGTGGAGTCCAAAGGTTCTTCTAGAACTTTTTCACCAGTTAGCTTTAATTTGAAGTGTGATCACCTGTGTTACAGTGAGGTTGAACTTTGTCCGACCTTTGTTTTTAATTATACATCAAATACCTGCACTTTAATTTAAAGACAATACAGTTATTGTGAGATTATACAGTTCTTAATCATTTAACATTTAGTGGTGCTGCACAGACTTCATGAAAACAAGACCAGGTCTAAACCTTGTATATGTCTGGACCACCTCTGGTCAAATCCTAGTTCTATAACCATGATGTCATCTGACAAAATCAACAAACACATAAATGAAAGACAAAGACAAACTGAGCTGTGATTTCAACTGTATTTACTGTACAATGATCACTCAGAGAGAAAGTTAGAGGTCACAATGTCTCTCACACAGCCTCCATCTGGGATCCACAATAATTTGGTCTTTATTCACTTGAACTCCAGAACGTAACAGACTTTTATTAGAGGCAGGTCTTTATGTCTAACTCCCTCTGTTTGATTTGTAGAATTGAGTGGTGTTTTTGCATTACATGTTAATAAAAACTCACTTCCTGTAACTTAAGTGTATTGTCTCATTTACTGTTGCTGGTGTTTCTGTTCTTTACATGCTATTCAGATCTGCTAGTTTCTTTAGCAGTTACTGATGACTTCCCCCTCTCCCTCCCTCTCTCCTGCTCTCTTCTCTCGGTGTGTCTTATGATTAATTATTCCTCTGCCTCCTTTAGTAATAATAATACATGTAATGAAAATAGTTTATTTTCTGTAATGGAGGTGAGGCTCAGTGTGTTGGAAGTGTTCCTCCTCTTCCCTGCAGTTCCCAAGCCGCAGGGAAACCAGAGCGGCTCGGTAGACTGCCTATAACAAGAGGTGTAGCCCTAAGTCCCTGGACACCATCTACACATGGTCCAGACCTGAACCAGGTTTATACCCAGTCTTTTTGAAAAAAGTCTCTTCTAGAGACAAATCTAGAGACAATTAGCAAAGTTTTCACACTGCAGCTGTAAACACCCCCTAATATAACCTGTTTGATCCAGAAACTCCAACTCAATGAGGAGGAAATATGATCAGTCAGTCAGTCAGTCAGTCAGTCAGTCAGTCAGTCGAGATCATAGGGCTGGCCCTTCTTTTGTGGTCCAGCCAATGATACATGTGTATATAAAACAGTAGAAACAGGCAGACGTCACTCTGGACAGGATTAAAATCTTCACACTTCCCAAGAGAGATAAATGCAGTCTGACTGGAGCTTCAGTAGCAGATTTTTGGGGTGTCCATTTTTCAAAGACTTCATTTGCTCTGTTTAAAAAACAACTCTCAAGATTTTGATCGAAATTGATGAATTTAATAGAAAATGAAATTGTACCAGAGGCAAAGTGAAGAGTGATCATTTTCACATTTCTCTCAGTGGTTGACGTGTCTGGGAGCTGTTCTGTGGTAAATCATTTCAACTTGATTGTAACACCATGAAAATCTGATGAGAGTTACCACATGTGGTCATTGCAAAATTGATATGAATCCATGAGAGGAAATGGAAGCAGATACCTTGACATTTTCAGCTTCTCATTACCTGGCGTTTGTCACGTCTTTATCATGTTGTAGAAGCTTGTCAGCTAACCAGCTAGCTTCTAATTAGCAGCACAAATAACAGCTTCCTGGTGAAAGAAAATAGCAGACTTGAGTTCTTAAAAGCATACACTATACGTAACAAGAACCACATTTATACTGCAATTAATATTGTTAATATCATTATTATTACTATCATTATTAAACACTAAAATGCAGCCAGGCACAAAGCTTCAGGCTGACAAGTTCATCTGAAAGAAAAAACTCAAAGTGACATGCAAACGTTCTCTTCATCCTCATCTTCCTCCTCCTCTTCATCATCATCATCATCAGTGCAGTATTTTTATTAAAAGAAATATTTTTGTTCACAGTTTCTTCTCCACCTCACAGCAGTGAGAGCTCCCTATTGGCTCAGGTTTCAGTATCAGCAGCTGCCATTGGCTGAGCATGGAGAGCTCTGATTGGTTCTCAGTCTGTTTGGCACATCTTCCGGTTGGCTTTCTGAACTCGTATGACAACACTGTGTGCATGTGTGCGTACAAAGAAGTGTGTATCTGATATAATGTGTGTCAGTGAGTACTGATGTACTGTAGGTAATTAGGAATGTGTGTGTGTGTGCATGTGTGTGTGTGTGTTGCTGTGTTAAGTGTGTTGACCTATAGACAGAGATGGGCAGTAATTTATATAAACCTGTATTTAAAGGGGCACACCATCAATCAGGTGTCATGTCTCCTGTGGCTCTGGAGGAGAGTTGTCAAGTCAGAAAAAAATAACCCTGGTGATGTCATAGTGATGTCACGTCGTCTCATCTCATGGTTTCAAAAATATGTTCATCAAATCGTAACATTTAATCTTGGATGGATTTGTCTATAGCTGTGTCCCATTTCAGGGGTCACTGACGTAAATTGAACTGAAATACTTACTTTTACCAATACTTATATTTATGGGTGTAATCCTCAGTCTCTGTGGTGGTGTTTGCTTTCATTACTGGGCAACAAAGGATCCACCTCTTGGATCCTTCGTGGTCCAGGAAAAGAAGGACACATTTGAAGGAGTCTTTGAAATGAGACAGTCTAGCCATAAGGCGAGCTTCGGTTTTCAGATGCAGCCTCAAAGGATGAGATCCTGAACTGGGACACAGCTCAGATCTCTGACTGATCATGTTCTGAGTCAGTTATTTACTTGCTGACCCTTTTGTTCTTTAATGAGGCCAGGAGATTTTCACAAACGTTTAACTGAAGTGAACTCAGATTCTAAGGCCCTGATTTAGTGTTTTATTTGAATGTGATGATAAGGTTGTTCATTATACATCCTTTAAAGGAACGATATGTAAGTTGTCTCTGCTGCTGAATGTGGTTTCTTGACAGGAGCAGGTGGAGGTGATGTCACCTGACATGAGCTTCAGCCATCATTGTCCTTATAATACTAGAGGTTATAATATGTCCTCTGAGCAGCCACATCATCTTGACTCACTATCAGAGAGCTAGCTAGTAAGAAATAGAAACAAAACAAGAGTTAACATTGGTGTTTGCAGTCAATGCTAACGTTAGCTATGTAGCAATAGTAAAAACATGCATATTGTTCTTTTAAAAGTGTTTCAGAGACAGTGGGGATGAACACGAACAGTCGTACTGGTTTGAATAAAGTCAGTTCTACTGTGAGACTTGAACTGATTGTGAAAAAGAGAAAATTGAAACATTAGCTGGTTTTTTAGTTTTTCCAGGATAGAAAAGGCATAATTAAAAAGTGCCAGAGCCTCGACATCTGATGATTGAATACACTGCGAAGGTCTCATGAAACATAAAATCTGTCAGGGAAGAGAGCGGCGTCTGTCTGAACAGAGAGTAAAGTCAGATGAGGCTCCTCTGACCTGCAAACATCAAACACCCCACAGGGATCAGAAACACTTCTGTGAGCTGTTAGATGATGGGTTTGACGGGAATACTATATTAATAGCCTGTGCCACAAACCGGGAACACAGAGAGAGTTTGATAGATGTAGGGATTTACCAGTCACAAAGGGGCATATGAAGTAACACTGTTGTATTATGAGAACTGCAGGACTGTGTGTTTTTGGAGCTTGACTGATAATAGAGACTAAAGGTCAGGATACGCAGGTTCACTGACTCTGTAGAAGTCCAGCACCTTTATCCCTCTAATGTTCTGGACATCATGAAATACTTTCTGCATTACATCTGCTGCATTCAGTGTAACAGGATTTATTAGTGTTGTCCCTGTTCAGTAAAATGAATGAGCAGTGAATGCATGTGATATCATTTTGTATCCATGCAGAGCAGTGCAGCAACACCCAGTGTGTCCAGTATGGAAGCAAACTGCTGCTGCAGGTCCAGCACATTAAACACTTGCCTAAAAAACAATGTGACATGTGACATCAACGGAACATAAAATCTATTTATGATTTTAGCAAATCATTCAGATCCATGGTGTAAACAGTAGCCACAGGTGTAGTTTTTTGGGATGAAACCATTCATGACCATGACTACAGTTTCTGCCCCCCTAGCCGCTGCTCAGGTCGGTTCTGACTGATCCCCACTGGTCGCTTCATTTCATCCATCACAGAGCGGTCGCTCACCTGGCAAATGTACAGCTACACTGTCTCTTTACCTGATTGCACAAGAGTGGGTGTGTGTCCAAGTACAAATGTCAGGATCATATTTGAAAATAACTGAATCCTTACCTGTAAAAGGGCCTGAAACTGACCTGAAAGTGAACAGATCCACTAGTGGAACCTGTTGTGTTCGTGTCTTAACTCATGCCAGGTCGGCTGTAACCTTACAACGTCACTACAGTTAACTTCTACTGACAGCTGCTTCTAGCTCCTCCTCTGACCTACACCTCACACTTCCCTTATGAACCACCAGGGGTCACAGTGCGGTTCCCAGGATTGAATATCCTTTTCTCACCCACAAATACTGACAGGGACTAAATCCAAGTCCATCCCAGTGAAAACTGTGCAGTCTCTGTGTTGTTTTAACCCAGTGACTCTCAGTGAATTCGTCTGGTGTTTTTGATGTGACCACTAGGTGTTGCCAAAGTCAGAAATCCTTATTATTTTCTAATAACATAAATGTCAAAATTATACACATACACACTTGTTTTCTGCCCAGCCCTGTGTATAGTGTGTGTGCGTGTGTGTGTGTGTGTGAGTGTGTGTGTGTGTGTGTGCGTGCGCCAGTCCATCCATCTCTTGGGTCTGGTAAAAGTCTCTACTAATTAGGGATTTTCAGGCAGAAAAAGGAAAACAATCAGGAATAATAACATCATTATCATTATCTGCTATCACAATTACTATTATTTCATGGATGTGATTTTTCAGGATGTCAGTTTTTGTTCGTAGCACTTGCACTCACTTTATACCCATGATTCCTGATCACATCCCAGGTTAATGCTGTTATTGCGTTAACGTCAGCATCACTGTTGTCCTAATATTCTATACAAGATGAGCCTCCATGGCAAAAAATCTACTAAACAATGATGCATGTTGGTTTAGAAAACTGTCCCCTGTGCTTGTGTTTCATGAATTTGTAAATGAGCAGCCATCACTCGCTGATGGTCAAGAGATTCACTCCATAGGTGGGCAGGTCTTTGCTGACGCCTGACAGCCAAGTGGTGTGCGGACGACATTGGTCCAGTCTTTCTAGGCTAGATGTACAGAGTGAGATCAGGAGTCCTCAGAGAGATGTGATTGGCTAAACTCCAGATTGAAAATCAGGGCTGATCGGCTTCAGTGATGGTGATGTGTCACTGAAGAAGATGACAAGCGTTTCCGTTTACTTTCAGAGGGGAAGGAACTATGTGTCTGGACTGGCTGTAAGGCACTGACTCAGGTGTGGTCAGGAGAGATCAGTCATGCTGAGGCTCATGGGTAATCCTGGACGGAGGTAAGCCACCGGGACACGGCCATTCTCACTGGTCGATCCTGTGATGGACAGACGAGCTTTGGAGCGCATTGCATCTGTGAATTTCATCTGCACAAGGGAAAAATATGTTAACCACATTTGAATCATCACAGCAGAGAGACAGCTGCTACAACTGAGAGCTAACCCTGAGGATAGTGTGTTATTTTCTTCCTGTCTGAGAATGACGCAAGGAGACGGATATGAATCTCATGTGGAGCAGAAATGTAAAAACAGCAGCTTGTGGTTTTAGGAAGGCTGGATTCAAAATGACTAATGCTAGATAAACAGATGATACTGTTTTTCATCATAGGCTGTAAATGTGCCGTAAAGACTGGAATAATGAGCTTTTTGTACTGTTTCATATGTTTTAATCCAACGTAGCAGTCAAACTGAAATCACTGGTTCTGCATATAGGTTCACATACACAAGCGTCTGCTCTGAGAACTTTGTTCGGGACTACCTGAAAAAAGGAAAAGACTCTGATGTCTGACCATTCATGCATCTGCTGCAACAGCACAAAGATAAGGCTATATTGGTAAAATATTAACGCAGTTCTTAAAATATTCAGAGATATGAAATTCCAAATGTGTCCTATGATGTTACGTATTGGGAACATTAAAGGTCCTGTGATGAGATAAGATCTCTATCTGACCAAGGTTCTACTCACAGCAAGTCAGAAAGCTGTTTAATGTAAATGCTCCAAGTCAGGAAGAGACATGTTCATCATGGAAAAATTGAGAGTCAGCGAGAATATGTTTTAAAAGATCTGGAACAAATGGACACAGCACTGACTTATAAAACTCATTAAACCTCATTAAAATAGTTGTATGAATATTGACTCCACTGTGATTTCATTTTAGATTTGGTTGTGTACATGTGTTTGTCTGTTTCAGTAGTCATGTGCTGTTCTGTTTATATCTTTGTGAAAACTCCAAAAAAAATTAAGTTTGAAGAAAAAGAAAAGAAAGTGTCTCTGTATGCTGCAGAGCCAATGAAATAACTATTTTAGATTCCTGTTTGTTTCCTCCTGACATCCACACTGAGACCTGTTAGATTTAAAACTCTTCTGCATTCACACAATTCTAGTTTTCAGCCTCTAAAACAGAGATTTTCAGAAACTCTGCTGGACCAGTTTTATTTTGAAAACTCTGGGGTTGTGTTTTATTTTGAAAACTGAGACCCTGGGAAATGACGATGTGGACACCCACGGTCTCTCCTGATTGGCTCTCATCAGCCTGGACTACCAGTGGTGAATACAACATGATAATGAATTACAGTGTTACTGACCTTGTTGTCTTTGCTAGCAGCTGTTGATCAGTGACATTCTCTATTTGAATGCTACATTTGTCTTTAATTTAACAAACCAACTGCAGAGTAGACAATCTGCTTCCTGTTTACACCGACTCGCACATGCTCAGTGTACCTTAACGGTCATGTGACATGTTTTCAGGTGTGTCAGTGTGGACGGAGCTAAAACACTCATCTGCACAGAGATGGATTTAATTTTAAGATGAAAACCCATCAGTGTGGACGCAGCGTTAAATAATTAGGTAGGTGCATTAGTCTAACTACCACATCCTGACTCCACCTCTGTACAAAACACACAAATGAGATTTATTTAACAGCTGATACTTTCCTAAACTGTTGAACTGTTCCTTTAACACATTGTTGACGTCATGTGAAAACAAATGAGTCATTGTATAAAACTGTGATGTAACAGTTAATCACACAAGCTTTACATTTCCCTTATAAACCTAAAACATCTGTGCACTGTCTCCTCCACAGCTCAAATTCAAAGTGTTCCTTATTTATTACTGTATTGTGGCCACCTGACCTCTTCACTCTGACCTGTGTGGTTTAGACTCTTGTCACATGTCTGACAGTGTGGAGGTTTGATCCTGTACTCAAGTCTCATCAAGACCGAACAACCTCATTTACATAAACCTTTACAGTGAGATCTTTGCTGTGACACTTTTGCCCCATTCAGACCGACACAAAGACGCAGGTCAAACCTGCGATGGGGTTCTATCTATCAGCTGACCTTCCTCCGTGACCCTCCTCCTGACCAGGGCTGGACGGGGGTCAGAGGCTGCCCAGCTGTGGTCAAGTGTTGTTGCTACCAGGGCCCGAAAATAATTCAGTGATACAGATGTTTAAACGTCATTTAACTGACGAGGAGAGATAAAGGGAGAGTTGTCTGCTGTCTGAAAGGGGTATTAGTCAGCGGTCAAAAGTCAGTGTGGGGAATGTTGCTTATCAATGAACAGAGCTGCTTAATATTACATCAATGTACTATAGTACCTGCAACAGAAATACTAAATACTACTAAAGTAGATTTTTAACTATTTAATTCATAATCATTAATAATCCTGTCTGGTTATTTTATCCATTAACATTGTTTTCCCATAAAATTCACATTAGCTCATACTGTTTATACAATATAACGTTGAACATGTATAAATATAAATATGTGTATGTATATGATGGAGAGAAGGAGGAAGTGAGAGAGAGAAAGAGAAAGAGAGACAGAAATGTGAATAATTTCTTTAAAATCCATGACAAAACTTCCTGAAGCCACTGAATGCAGCATGACACGCTGTAGCATTATGTAATGAATGAATGGAGGATTATTTGCTTGTGTTTGTATGTGTCAGTATGGAGTATGAACTCTGGCTTGGAGGCAGGAGGCTCCTCCCATCTCCTTGTTCGGAATCTGTTTCTATGGAGACTGATGCTGCTACAGCATCATCAAAACAAAATGTGATGACAATAACTTCTGTTCACTGAAGGAGAGAAGGTATAATACACATAGTGCAGGATATCATGTCTCTGTGTGGCCTAACTAAAGACATGTTATGACAGACACTCACTGAGCACTTTATTAGGAACACCTGTACACCCTCAGTATTCCAATTAACCAATCACATGGCAGCAGATCCAGGTGAGGAGCTTCAGTTAATGAGGACAAATGTGACTCAGTGACTCTGTGACATGATTGTTGGTGTCAGACGCTGGTCGGAGTGTTTGTCAAACTGCTGATCTCCTGGAATTTCATACTCAGCAGTCTCTAGAGTTTTTACTCAGAATGGAGCAACAAAAACAACCAGTGAGCAGCTGCTCTGTGTTGATGAGAGAGGTCAGAGGTCAGAGGAGAATGGACAGACCGGCTGGAGCTGACAGAAAGGCTACGGTCACTCAGATAACTACTCTGTACAACTGTGCTGAGCAGAGAGGCTTCAGAGTGAACAACACGTCCAGCCTACAACAGCAGAAGACCAAGTCAGGTTCCACTTCCTGTCACCAAGACCAGAAACCTGAGGCTGCAGTGGACACAGACTCACCAACACTGGACAGTTGAAGACCCCTTCTTCTAATGACGAGTTCCAGCAGGATAATGCTCCATGTCTCAAACTGGTTTCACCAACATGACAGGGAGTTTAGTGACCCCCACACCCCCCCCAGTCTCCAGACCTGAATCCAGTAGACCACCTTTGGGATGTGGTAGAACGGCAGATTGGCAGCATGAATGTGATGCAGTCACGTCAACATGGAGCAGAGTCTTAGAGGAAAGTTTCAACATCTGGTGGATCCATGACATGAAGAACTGAGGAGCTACCCATAGTTAGTGTGCTGTTCCTAATAAAGTGCTCACTGAGTGTATATGAGGAAAGGCTTATTAGCCTCCTCTGAATTTCACTTCTCATTGTTTTATCCACTCTTCACCAAACCCAACTGTGTCAGGGGGCAGTGTGCTGGTGTACCTCATTCCTCTCCTTCAGGAAACAGATACATTCATCTCTTCATTCCCTTTCAGTTGATTCACTCGGTACAACACATATGGAACTTACTGTATATACTCCATCTGGAGGTAAATCTCCAACGTGGGTGCATTGTAGGGCAAGAGGCAAAGCAGAACCAACTGGCAAATATCACTCATATGGTTTTTAGCTCCCATGTTGCTGCTCTTGCCCCAGGCTGGGTGTGCTGTCACACAGTGAGGTAATGGTAAACTTCTGCTGTTACAAGCCAAGGGAAAGCCACTGCTTTGACAGGTCTTTGCCTCTTGCTGCACTGGCTACAAAGATGAATATGTGGGCGCACAAACCCACACACTGATGGCGGTCTCACTCTCACAGCACACAAGGCGTGCAATCTTCCCTGCTCATCAGGTGCAAAAGAAGGTGGGCAAAAGCTTAGGAACTTAAAAGGCACACTACAAATACAGTAACCTAGTTATGTCTTCTGTCTTTTTGTGGGCAATAGAACTGGGTGCAGTGCAGTCTTCTATGAAAGACACAACAAAGGGCCTCAAGCACTAACATCCTGTCCCATAAAGGAATGTGTTGTGTGTGATGGAAAAGAAAAAGGGGTGGTGGGAATCCTCCCTGGAGGTAAACAGATCAACTACTGAAACAATCCAACATGTGAGCTAACACCAACAGGTGTAACCTGCACTCTTCCAGGAGAAACACTCGCAGGTGCAACATGGGTCAAAGTTACAGCTTTAACAACCTTTGCTCAGCTCTGAAGAGGCAACCACTCATTACTGCTCTCTTGCTCAACCACAGAGTTGCTGACACATAAATGAAACTATAACTGAGGCATTGCAACTGTTCTTTCTACATTTCTGTGCATGTCCTTCAGTCCAGCTTCACTGTGAGCTGACTGACCTGTAGCAGAGAAGTGGGGAAGTAGCACTACTCCTGATTACTTATTACTTATATTTGGTTTATTTAATCTGCTATGTTCTATACACTGGAAAGGTGATGAGCTTTTCAAATACTGGTTACTGGTTACTGTGGTTACTTCAAAAACTTTTAACACACTCAAACTAGGACCTGAGGCAAATATACACTGGTGTGCAGAAAGAGGGAATTATGATTAGGAGACTGTGTTAAGGCAGTCAATAGATTCTAGGAGCACCTCCGGCAGCTTGACCAAACCTACTCTTCCAGCTCTATCTACATGGAAATACTGGCCATAACCAGGCCCCCTGACACTGGTAAGTAGTTGTTGATGTCTGTTCCAATGTCAGTTCCTCAGCTACCCCGTAATACAGAGAAAAAGAA